AAGGCGGCGGCGGGGCCCGGCGGGGCCCTCCTGCCCGCGCTTCGCCCTGCGGTGGTACAAGGAAATCATCACCTGCTTTGCCACTTAGAGCAACTCATCATGACTTCTGAATAGTGATTAATAATCCTGCTTGCCCTCACTGTGCTGTGCAAGCTTACCGAGGGCTACTGCTACCGTGTTCATCAAAACAAAGCAGTTTTCTGTGGAAATTTACCAAGAATTACTGTGTTTGGCCAAAATAAGAAACGTGTCCTTGGAAAGCAGATGGGTTCTAGCTAGTTTAGTCTTTGTAGTTAATAGATAACCAGATATGGACAGTGGAAACTAATATGATAGTGTTTTTAGATAAGATAGAGGTGGTAAACCAGAGGGAACCACTCTTGGTTTTCAATAAACTGGCTAGATTGAACAACAATAAAGATCTAGATTAGATCTAAGGAAGAAATTTTTCCCTGTGAGGGTGGTGAGGCCCTGGCATAGGCTGCCCGGAGAAGCTGTGGCTGCCCCCTCCCTAGAAGGGTTCAAGGCCAGGTTGGATGGGGCTTTGGGCAACCTGGGCTAGTGGAAGGTGTCCCTGCCTGGGGCAGGGAGTTGGAACTAGATGGTCTTTAAGGTCCCTTCCAACCCAAACCATTCTGTGATTCTATGAGTGTACTTTCTATTCCATATATTATTGCCAAACATTAGGCACTCAGACTAAAATTGCCTGTGGCTTATGTCTCAGGCAGCAAATGTCTCGTTTCAGTTGTGGGTTATGTATTTCAGATGTTAGGGAACGACTACAAAAATAATTTAGTCCACATTAAAAACTCTGACAATCATTCCTATGGAGTTTGAAGGAGGGATCTATAAGCATTGACACTGACCTTAGTACCAAAGAATGGTCAAGAGTGCGGAGCTGGAAGGAAGGAGTGACACCAGTTGTCTGGTCTGGTCTGATCTTGCCTATCCCAGTGTTGTGCGACAGGTCAAACCATCATTCATTTCAGATACCTCTCAGAGAAGTGTAGCTGTGAGACAAGCTGGAGATGGAGTTCTGGGAGAACAGTGAGGGCTCCTTGTCCATTTGGGGCAGTTGGTTTGGGTCCTGTGAGCCAAACCAACTGGGCTTTTGAACTTCATTTCCCAGAAGAGGAACTGAGACCAAATACTGTCACCAGGAAGCATGCCAGAAAGGAAGGGACATGCGCACCAACCTTTCTGCTTTTTTGTAACATTAAAAGCACTGTGTCCAAATCTATGCTTTCCCCTAAAATGCAGCCCATGTTCTTTGCACTTGGAGGGTGGTTTAGGAACTAGAGTTACTAGGATAGACAGTTTTAAAGGATAAATTACTTACATAAAATACTAAGAAGCTCTGCATTTTCTATTTGGGGTAGGGCGGAGATGTCTCTTACCTCAAGAAGCCACAAATCTCTCAAGGGCTGGACATTCTGAGACAAAAAAAAAATTAAAAAGTAAGAAAAAACAATTAAAATACGCATTAGTGGGAAGGTTTTCTAAAAGTCTCAAGTAAAGTAATGGAAGAGAGAGGCATTATTGCTCATGTGGCAGCCAACGCTGCCAGTCCTAGCTGAAGAGTAGCTCCCACTGGCTTCTCTTTCTTCAAAAAGAGAACTGAAATTCTCTCTTTGATATTCATCTCAAGTTTGATTAATCTCTTCCGTTTGTACCTGGTCTGACCTCTGCTACAGTGTTTGTTTTTACACTTCAGCCTTTGAGGAGAGGCAAAGAGCAGAAGACTGAACTACTCCATCCATTTGCTCAGAGCTGGTCATTAGCACAGGAAACTGCTGTGAATATGGAGATGAGGAGGAAATTCCATGTCTTAAGGTTCTAAATCAGTTAGAAACCCCTTGAATCTGTCCTGAAAAATTAGAAATATTGCAAATAATACTGACTAGTGAGGACACTGACAAATGGAAAATCTCCCCATGATCAGTGCAGGTGGGATGGAGAACCATCTAAGCATTACATCAAGAAATGATTTGAGAAAACCTTTTGTTTCCTTAATGCTAGTTGCTATGGCCATGACCAGGACCATGGTAGCAGCAAGTAAATCTTGAAATAAAGGAATTGGGAAAGAAGGAAGACAGTGCCCTGCATTTCCTCCCCAGTCTTGCTGTGCCTCACCATCCCACAGTGATTTTATGGCAGAGACATTCAGAATATCAGACAAAGCTACGTTTGGACACTTCTGCGCTCCACATTGTTAACAAGGTTTATCAGCAGAGGGACTGCCTTCATACAATCTTCATACAGCCATATCTGTGCTAGAACAGTGCAGTGGCTTGAAAAAAAAAGACTCAAACAATGTAATTGCTGCTACAAATTTCCAAGCAAAGTACCAGCTTATGCAAGAACCGAGTGTCGCGTGGCTGAGATCCCACAACATACCTTTGTTTTGTTTATAATAGTAATCTAGAAATGTAATGTTACTACCTCACCAATAGTGTTGGAAGTTTCTGTGGGCCTAGGATCCAAAGGCTATCATGTGACACAATTCAGGGGCTCTGATGGCTCACGTAGCCCACAGGCCTGAGCTTTACGTTGTAAGAGCTGGTGGGGCTCGTTCTGTCCCTTGCAGATCTACAAGTTTGCTCAGATTACAGTGTTCTCTAATGATCCACCCCAAAAGCATTTCTGATGCAGGCAAAGTGTTTATTTGAGAATTTATAAATCCAGTAATAGCTTCAGCAAATGCCTTCCTCTTCACTCCCAAAAGGAAATGCCCTAGTTCAGGAATTACAAATGCTCCACTTAAAAGTTAATCCAAACTTAACCCATCAATACTAGAAAGCAACAATGAACATCCCTGAAAAGTAAAATGTTCTGTCTTGAACACTATACAGTTAATCGTTCAAAAAAACCCCCCACCTTTTCAAGGTGAGTGTTGTTGCTTGCTTTGACAAGGAGATGGGGAGGAAAGCACAGCTAGAGCCTGGGCCCTGGCAAAAGCCGTCACAGAGGGACTGCACAGCACGAAGCCAACATTTGCCAAACTCTGCTCTCCTAGGGACTGAACCACTCGTAACAGGTGAGCAGCCACGTAGCAGTGTGCTCTGAAGCACCCCGGGGGGAGCTAAAACCAGCATTTGGTACATCAGGAACTGGGAGGGAGGAGGAGGAGGCCAAGTCCCTCTGCTAGAGGTAAGATGTACAGCTTCAAGTAAAACTGGGTCTTAAAACACAGAAGTCTTCTGAGCTGAGGAAGAAACAATCTAACTGCAAAGGACACTTAAAACCAGTTCTAGGGCTGTACTGGAGGTAGATGGAGGACCACCAGGTCCAGCAGCTGAGTTGCTTGGGTCAGCTGCCTGGGGCACAAAGGTGCCGCAGTATTACCGTGCTGTCTGGCTCCAGCTCTAGCCTCAGACTGAGAGATTTTGATGAAAAAAAGCCCATCAACCTTCCCCTCACCAAATCGACCGTGTCCAACCTTTCCACCCTTCACAGCTGTGCAGTAAGTTGCTGTGCTGTGGCCAGGCCATGATCCAAAGACTCAAACCCCAAAAGGCTAATTAAAGAAAAATGAACATGGTTTTCCTGCCGTCACCTTCAATATCAGAGAACAAGCAGAAATTTTAGCAAAGTATACCCCAAACCCCAAAATATTAGGCCTCACCCCGAAGATAACTGGACTAGGTTGCATCACATGCTGTAGGGAATCCTCCCTTTCCATTTCTCAGGTGTTTTCCTGTCTTAGTTTCTAAAATGACCCTAGATTCTTCCAGGTGCCTGGGTGCATTGCTCCCAATGAAACCCCAAGTGATTAGGACCTTGAAAGCTTCTGATTTTCATGATTTGGACCATTATTTCTTGCTGCCTCTGCCATTTAGCGCTGGGCTGTGTCACCCACGGATTCTGTGGCTGAAGCTATGGTATGTCTTGTGCTGTGGGGATCCAAATGTGGTCTTTGCAGCTTGGACCTGTCTCCAAACATGAGAAATGGTTGTTGTGCTTAACCACCAAACCACACGGCGCTGAAGCAGAAGCTGTACTGAGCAAGGTGCAGGGAGCTGTCTGATTTTTGGAGAGTTTAACTGCAGCAACAACAGCCAGCAGAGATGAAGGTTTCATTATATTGCTGCTGTTGGCTTTTCTGAATGTAAGAGCTGTGAACACAGGTCACCTAACTTTCTTTTTGACCTTACCCAGCTTTTCCTCTGAGTCACTAATGGGCACTGTGCCTCCTTAGTTAAGCAGCACCCACTGTTTGTCAGGGGGAAGAGACAGGGCTGCCTGCCTGCCAGTGATTCCCTCCATTTGTGGGTGACATGCATCTGTTTGACCACAGAACTGGAGCCCTTCCAGGCACATTTTGTCACATCTATAGCAATACATAAATCTGCTGTGACAGTAGTTGTGGGGGGAGAGTTCTGTTCTTAGAACAGAGAAATAGTCACCAACTCATTTCAGCCTGGTGCCATCAGAGTTTGGGGAGGATAACATTTTTCTGGTAAAGTTAAATTCAGTGCATTGATCTCCAGGGAGGTTAATCTTCTAGCTAGGGAAGCTGGCTTTGCTGGTAGAAGAAGCAGTCTTAATCACGTGGGAAGACCGACAGTAGCAGCTTGGGAAAAGGTCTTTAAGGGCCTTGTAAAACTTAAGGGACTCTTCTGGCTCTAAAGAAAATCCCACAGCTCACCCTTGAATGTTCACTTGTGTATGTATGGGGCGAATATACTACCAGAACTTTCTGAAAACCAAATGAAACAGTGGAGTAAAAGAAGCAACCTTGGCCTAACTGTCTGTAGATGTACTTTTATCAGAAAACAGAGCTGTAATATAAATGCACAGTGTAGCTACCTACATTCCCTCCCTTTTAGTGCCTTTTCGAGAAAAGGTCTTAGGCTGTTGGGTATGTGGAAAATGATAGAGTGGGAGGAAGAAGAATTTGTTTTAAGAGATTTTTTTGGAATATGTTGAGCATCCTCTAAGTGGTAAACTAAGAATATCCTCCCCGCAATTCCCAGTGATAAAAATCTCACTGCAAGAGAGCCAGACATGAAAAATCACACTGCTTAGACTCGGTGCAAGTTCTGCTATTAGAGTTTGTCTTCCCACGGTAACACCATACAGAAGGCCAATGGTTGGAAAGAAAATACCAATACCATTTCCTCTTTGTTCACCAATTCTCAGCATGAGAAACTTTGTGCTAGGAAGAGACACAACCACCTCTTTGTAGCTGCACTGTGGGGCTCTCAGGAGCAGGGGAAGAGCAGTGACTGCCTGCTGAGGATCACTGGCAGGGGATGATGGGGAGCTCACATCAAGCTGGATGGTGCAAGAAACCCACATCACCCACAAATGCAAGAGCTACTTTGGAAGTTGTCAGGAAGACCATGAACACCATTGTTCTGCTCATCATCGCTGCCATCACAGGCGCTACAGGTACTTGTGATGGTATTTTGGTGCCAACTCTCTGTTAAGGGCAGAGGGAAAGAATGTGCGAGAGTGATATTAACTTAGATCTTCTTTGGGATAGAAAAAAATCTAGGGGAAGGGATATTTACAAAGTGCTGAAGGGATATTTTGATGGAAAACCAATAAGCTGCAAATTAAAACGTTTCTAGCTGCAATCAGATCTTTTCAGTTGTCAAGCAAATAGAAGTGGCATTGTTTTTTACAATGATGTGATGAAAACTGAAAATTATTTTCTTGGAGTATATTTTTCATGATAATTAACAGAGTTATTAAAAACATGTTTGATGGGAGGTTTTCTGATCAGTCTGAGCACCCAATCAAGCTTTACTCTTAGGTATCAGTGACTTGTCCTGAAAAATGAAGTATACTGGGATTTTACAACACTAGATTCAGACAGAAGTTGTAATAAGACTCAATGGGAAGATTCTTTCCCCTTTCCAAACTCAGTTAAATACTTAGAAAAGCAAATGCTAGAAATGTGGGATCTGAAAATGCAGCTATAACCCCTTCTCCTCCCTCCCCTACATGAATTCTTTATTTTTCTTGTTTGTTTTTGTTAGAACAGGTGAGACAGGTCACAAGGCAGTGATCTTGAGTCTCTCAGAGATCTCTGCATCTGACAGCAAAGAGGAATGTATTTTCTTTCCAGTTAAATGTCATATTCCTCTACTATTTCATCTGTCACCAGTACAACTGGGGAAATTGGTTCATATAAGCTTTGGAGTGGCAGGGCATACCTGTGCTTGACCTGATTAGGAGGGCTGCTTATATCCAGCACAAAAGGGGGGGTGAATGTCTTCAAACATTCATTTTTTCTGCTGTACTGGGCAGCAATGCTCAGGGAAAAGGAACCTGAGAGATCTCCCCATACAGATGGACTCTGCAGCTCATTCAGACCCTGCATCCCAGCCATGTTACTTATACACTGTCCTAGGGAGAGGACCTGACAGAGGGAGGGAGTGTAAACAGGGGCCACTGTATGCAAACACAGCCATGAACTTAGAGATCTGTTCCTGCCTAAGAGGAGATGAAGCTCTTGGGCTGACACAGACATGGCCTCACACTGGTGTGTAAAGTGTAGACATGTCTTTGTGAAGCACAGACCGGAACTCCAAGGCTGTGAGTGACATCCCTGGGCACCTTCTCACACGTACTTCTCTTTGTTTCTCTCCTTCAGGGAACAACAGAGTGACAGAGACAGCAACAGTAGGTAGCAGCCCTGTGCTCACCTGCTCTCCCAAAACAAATGCAACTATGGTAACATGGAAAATAATGCCCAAGGTTGGAGGGCACTGCGCCTTGGGGTACAGGGCTGATCAGAACAAGATATACAGAACAAACTGCAGTGACAGAATCAACTGGAAATTCAGACCAGATCGAGATCCCACCCTTGAGATACGGCAGGTGGAAATAGCTCATGAGGGAGATTACACCTGCGAACTAGTAAAAACAGAAGGGAATTTCCACAAGACGTACCACCTGACTGTGCTGGGTAAGGGACTTCTTCCTCATTTTACAGTTCTCCAGAGGACAATGTCTGGGCTTGGACATACAAAGCTCCTCACCCCATGCACCAGGGGAAGCATGCAGTAAGAAAGAAGAGCTTTCTGCCTGGGATAAACCATCATGCCTTTCATTGATAGGAGCTCTGGTTCTCCTTTCTCTTTATTTCCCAAAACTCTTCTCCCTTCTGCTGCCCCCCTTCCCACTATCGAGTTAGAAATGAGAGGTGTCAAGCAATATCCAATATACTAACAGAGGATTCTGTGTATGCTTCTGGTTACTCTGTAGACTCAATCATCAATACACTAATTTAAGAGAACTAAAGCCTGGGAGAGTAACACTTCCAAGTGCTGAGGTGTTCTGTCAAACACAGGATGTTCTTATCCAGACAGTAAGAACGGCCCCATTTCCTCTTATGCTGGCGTTCAAGTACATTTTAAACCACATGTATGATGGCTGCTTAGGACAAAAGTGTGATTCAGCCCTGTATTTGGGATAATTCCCTACTGCAGTGTCCAGGGAATCCTCCTCTAACAGTACATGGCTATGGTAACTCACCTGAAAGGGGGACAGTTGTCCAAAAGGAGAAAAGAGGCCCAATCTTTGTGTCCTGTGGCTCTGGCCCGTGTCGCTGTAACGGGACGGCACCTCCAACCTTCTTCTCCTCTTTTCACTGTGTTGGTTGTGGGTAGAGAACAAGAGGATCCTGCCCCAGCTGAGGCAAACTAACTCCACGCATGTCCCCTTCCTGATGCTTTGCAGCCCCCCCGAGGCTGACCCTGTACTGTGATGACCACGGGGTCCCTGTGTGCCAGGCAGCGGCAGGGAAGCCGCCTGCTCAGATCTCGTGGGTCCTGGAGAGCACCTCCACCCCCAGGGAAGAAGCCCACGACAACGGGACAGTGACTGTTCTCAGCAAGTTCACAGCACACAGCGCCAACAGGACTAATACGACCTGCATTGTGTCCCACCCAGCTGGGAACCAGAGCAAGTCCATAGCCTGTCGTCCCCCGGGTAAGCTTCCCTCTGTGTGTTTGGAGTTCAAAACCCCATTTAGCCCTCTGTTCATGCACTAAGACAAGTATCAGTGGCACTGGGATGATGGCAGCAGGAACTGTGCAGCTGAGCTGAAGTTTTCAGTGAGAAATTTATTGGTAGGAGGAAAGATAAACAAAAGCGCCTTCAGAACTGTAAAGTCCTTTGTGTAATTCTAGGAAAGGAGATGGATGTAGTGGTTTTCCTTTCTACCAGTAGAGCTCAATGGAAAGGCAGGATTCTTCAGAGATTCATGACACAAAAAGATGCCAAGGGTATGATCACCCAGATCTATGTATTGTAATCCAGTGGTACCATCATTTCTTGCTAATTGCTGGGTTGCACATAGGTTGTGACAGGAAGACTGAAAGCCACTTTATGGCTTCCAAAGACTGGCTGGTAAGTGAAGGTTTTAGGTGCTGAAGTTGAAGAAGTTGCTGGGAAGCTGCATGCAACCATATGTACTCAGCTGGAAGAGAATCAGAGCTGAAATTTGCTGGAATGCACATGCAAGGCCTGCAGCTGGTCTATGGGAAGTGGTGAGGAGGAGGATTTGGTTAGTGCCCACACAGCAAAAGACAAGGCTCCTCCATCAAGAGTATGGGGGGACGTTTTTTATTCCCAATTCTGTGCCCAGCACTGTATTGCAGCTGTGTTGGGTCATCTTCCAAATAAAGCACGAAGAGAGGGTTGTCTAGAAGATGCCATCCTGACAGAGGCACAGGGCAAACAAACAGCCTGTGAGATGTACCTAAAAGAGCAACTCTTTCTCCTTAGAGAATATTAGATTCCGTCTTCGCTGTGTCATCATCAGCCTTGCTACTCTGGTTCTCTTCTTTCTGCTTGCTGTACTTCATCTCTACACCTTCTGTGGTAGCAGGTATGTATGGGACGTGATACACACCCGCCCCTTTGGCCCGTCCTGGGGGAGTTTCGAAGGGCTACTGGTACTAATTCATGTCAGGCATGGTCACCTCAGTATGTCCCAAACTCATGGAGGTTTGTCCAAGGTCTGTAACACTACAGCTGGGGCAGAGTTTTAGGGACATTCTTCTTGCTGCCATACTTCTATCAGAAGCAAAAATACAAAATGAGTGGTTAGTTTTTTCCACCTGAGTGAGGGATCTGAGCAAAGATTGCCAGGCTATGAAGATTAAAGATGCAGCAAAGTATCTTTCTGAGCTTGGAGCCAGACTTTTGGTCCATTTTGTCCTATTCAGAGGAAGCCAGGGCCGATGTAGAAATGCGGGATGTATTATTGCATGAGAGCAGAACAGATCAGCTGTGGTAACTGCTGAGGAGTTCTGGCAGCAGTCTGGCAGCTGGGGCGATTACTCCATCTGAGCTAGCCTCTCTGTCACAGGTGCAATTGATGCCCAGAATTACGGTACAAACACCACAGAAGCAGAACTAACTACTGAGTTCAAGTCACTCAAGGTCCTGCTTTGCCGTGGCTCTTGGTAGTAGCTCTGTTTAGTGCTGGCTGGAGCATGGCCAGCTCTGATCGTGCTCACATGAGATTACAGACACAAAGCCTTATGTTCTTTTGTTTCTCTATGAAATAAAGGGGCTAAATTCTGTTCTTACATTCCTAGAGCCCAAAGTTGCATTCCCAAACCAGGCTCGTCCTCACACATAGTATTGGTGTCTTGTTTCCTAGGACAATGAGAAACCAGCACCAGCCAAGACACGTTCCATCTGCAGAGCTCTCTAGGCCTGTTTCTGACTCAGCACCTGAGCAGAGATAAAAGAAACTCACGGTGTGCCTCGGTCAGCACTGCAGCATGCAGCAGGGACTCACCAGTACCAAAGCGTTCAGGAGAAAGAAGAAAACATCTGGAGTGCAGCCAGTGTAACTGTGCAGAAACATGGCATGCAGGGCAGATCCTACCTGACCCTTGTCATCTCTGTCTTCCATCATCTCTCTGGTGCAGCTACAGATGCTGTTATCACCCGTGAAAGTATCAGTCGTTCTTTGTAAAACCAAAATTAACATATATACAAGAGGAGATTAATTCATGCTGTGTAAAATGAGGTCACTCCATTTCAAATACACTGTATCCTTGTATTTAAGTAGTATTTAATGTCATAGAGGATTGTGCTGGGTTTGTGTGGTGGGGTTTTGGTAGCAGGGGAGGGGGTACAGTGGTGGCCCTTGTGAGAAGCTTCTCGCTGCTCCCCCAGCTCCAAGTCAGACCCACCTCTGGCCAGGGCTGACCCAATTAGTGATGGTGGCTGCGCCTCTGAGATAACATGTTTAAGAAGGGGAACCTGAGAGGGGATGTCACGTCCCACTCAGACAACGGAAACAAGTGACTCAGATTTGTAAACCCCCAACGGAGTGGAAAACAGTGAGATAAGTCTCCAAGTCCAGACATTTATTAACTTCTCACAATGTACTAATTGTGCACACGATAATTGGCTGAGTATATAATGAGTTGTGGCAAGCAGTACAGTATGCCTTGCATTACCTAATGGTAGTGAGGAAAAAGGGGAAAAGGAAAGGAGGGGGATGGAGAGAATAGAGGAATAGAGATCATGGGTCTGCATTCCTGCGTCGGTCCCACCAGCAAGGGTTCTAGTGATTCACAGAAAAAAGACTCTACAACTCTGAATAGAGTTATACAGCAGGGATGTTTTACTCCGGCCGGGGTGCAAGGGGATTTCTCCACAAAGCTTGCACACCCATCACACATTTTAACAAATACTTATAGAGCGTGTATATACATATTCATTGGATTACATAACACAAACATACATATGCATGAGTAAGGCTGGGTTAGCCTTAGAGGCTGGTGTCAGCAGTTGATGTTTTCTTTGCACCTGCCCATTGCCTCCTGGTGGGCAACTTTAGGGGGGTCTTTGGGAGGAAGGATCGTAGTGTTTCTCACCTTGTACTTTTCCCTGGAGCATGCACAGATTCTCTTGGCCAGTTTTCTTGAATAACAAGTGTTTTTCAGCGGGTTTGTTCATTTTATCTTATCTAAGAGAAGCAACGGAACTTCTACCATCCATACATGGCTATCTTTACTCATTACCAAGACCAAATTAGTTAGAGCACACCTGTTCCCCAAGGACAAAACCATAATATTTTGCTGAACACTACAGTTCTTGGTAGATTTTCACAGTGAACTGCTTTATTTTGATGAACACGGTAGCCCTTGGTAAAATTCCACAGAACAGTCTGGGCAAGCAGGATTCTTAGCAATATTCAAAAATACTATAAGTAATACTTTAACTTGCTCTAAGTAAGTAAATAAGTTGCTAAGCAGTTTTCTATAAGTAAGTACTTAAATAAGTCTCAAAACAAGTAATCATTTCTCTGTATCACCAGGAGGCATCAGTTGTCTTTGCTTTGTTTCACTCTCTGGCCACCACCTCTCCTTGCCCCCCCTCAATTTATACCCACTTTCCTTGGGTCTGTCCTTTAGGTTGAGACCCACATACCTATGTATCCTACGGATGGGGAGGGGTAAGGTGTTTCATGGGATGATGTAATTAGCATGATATTTTTAATCTTTGTTAGCATATTCAGGAATGTTTAATGTACATTTTGTGGATAATGAAGCAAAAGTCATTCACTGGCCAGATGACCCTTGAAATATGACCAGGTACCTCAGAGCAGAACCCTCCTGTCTCCACAGGGCTCCCCCCTCCAGCTGCATCCTGTGGTATTGGGGCAGCCTGATCAGCTTCAACTTCCCCACCATCCACCCCAGGACTAGAGTTTCGTTATTTTGAGACATTCCTTAGCTCGGAGGGTCTCCACTGTCCCCGCTCTCCTTTATCTCTTTTTCAGGCTGTTTTACTCAGTCCTTGTTTCTTGCAGGCCTGTTTCTTTCAGGACCTGTTTTTAAATGTTCCCTCTCACAGGGGGATGTTGGGACTTGTAAGGAGGCTTTACAAGGAGGACACCTGTGCAACCACTGAGGTCAGTGGAAGGAAGGAGAAGGAAGGCGGGAGGTGCACCAGAGCAGAGAACCCCCCTGTATCTTGTGGTGAGAGGGGAGGGCCGCCCCCCCCGCCACCCAAGGAGGTCACCGGAGGGGCAGAAATTCACCTGCAGAGGAGCCCCGGGACTCTGTGGGAAGAAGCAGCCCCCACTGTTGTAGGTCAGTGCTGGGAGGAGCAACACAAGGGGGTGACCCACGCTGGGGCATCTTGAGAAGATGCATCCCATGGGGCTGCAAACACACAGCAGAGAGAGTTTGTGGAGGACTGTGCCGTGAGAGGGACCCACGTGGAGGAGAGGGAAAAATGCTGAAGGGTGCTTCTATCCCACACCCTGGAGGAAGAAGCAGTGGACTGACTGCACCCCTCTGCCTCTGTGCTACTGGGGGAGGTAGAAATATTGGGAACAAAACTGAGCCCGGGAAGAAGGGAGGGGTGGGAGGTGGTTTTTTTAACATATGGTAATGCTTCTCACTGTTTCATTCTCTCTGTTAAGTGTTGTTGTCGTTGTCGTTAGTGTTTTGAATTGATGTCCTTTTTTTTCTTCCCCTAACAGACCATCTTTTGCCTGCTACCATAATGGGTAAGCGACTCATCCCTATCCTTATCTCCATTCCTGAGCCTTTTAATTAATTTTTCTCCTTCCCAGCGCTGGGGGGCAGGAGGGGAATGAACGACTGTGTGGCACTCAGTTGCCCTCTCTGCTCAAACCATGACAAGGATAAAATAAATTAGAAGACATTTTCTGTCATACTAATGAAGAGCAACCTTCCCAGGATGATCACACAGGACTGAAGCTAAATTTGAGCAACTCTCATTTTCACTGTAAGAATTTTGAAATGTTTCACCAACACCTATCAAAAAAGGGAGAAAGATAGAGAATATTTGAGTTTGAGCAGTTAACATGAAGCACAGAAATTATTACAATCCTGAGATCTAAGCCTCACACTCATTTACTCTTTGTATAATCCAGAGAGCCACAGCCCCCAGTACACAGATCTCTAATATTCATTTCTTTAAACACATTTTACCAGTCCTATCACAAGGGAGCCCTTGAGTTTAAGCTTTTGTTCTAAACATAGCTGTGCCTCTTCATTTCTTAGCTCAGCAGAATTGGGGCATTAATATGTTACAGAGAAGGTAAAACACAGAAGCCAAAGTACTAAACTCCTCTGGGCATTTGGAGCTCCTTGCAGGGGACAAGCCTGCACAAGTGTCCACAAACCTCAGCTGTTCTGAGGGCATCGGTGAACCTCAGCCATATTTATTAACTTTCTTATAGTGCCTTGAGCACCCAGACCAGGTTTAAGGCTGACAACATAGGGCAGTCGCCCAGACCCCCAGGCTGGCCAG